AAGCGGGGGGGGGCGGGGGGGGGGGGGGGTGGACAACTTTTTAAAGCTCCTGAATCAGGTAAAAATTCTCCCCCTCCCTTACCCTCCATGCTCAGCAGCACCTCCCCTCCTCCACCTACCACTGCCTATCCCCAGCTGTCCTGCCCACTCCAACTGGACTGTATAAGGACCTGAGGTCAGCAGCAGGTGCTCTCTACCTGGCTGAAAATGACAACAATTGATGGGTATTCCCTGGCAGTCTGGAAACAGGCTGGTGGAGGGGGAATCCACCCACTACTGTGGTTGCTGCTCTTCTGGGATGACCCTGGGTCTCCCATGAGCCTGAGTGGAGCAGGACAGAAGTGGTGCTAAAACTCCTTTTGCCCCACAGGACAGGCAGGGACAGTGGCAGCAGCATGTAGGATAGGTGTCCAAGTGGAGGGGATATGCTGCTGAGCACTGAAGGGAAGGGAGTGGGTGCCGAGAGCAAAGGTGAGAGGGGGAAAATTCTTACCTGATTTCCTAATTCAGGGCCTGGGGCGGGGAGGAGGAGGAGGGAGTCCTGACTCTTGCTCCCAGAGCATGATCTACCCACCCCAATGGTGTGGTGGGAGCTGGAAGCACAAGTTGCTGCTCCCACATTTAAAAAATCCTAGATCTGCCCATAAACATATTTCATGTTATACTCAGAAGCCATCCTCATGTTCTTCATGGTAAGTATTCACCATACACTGGAAAGACCTGTGGCATTGTAGCAGGATTGGGCAATGTCAGGCTAGGCTAAAAAGAAAATGTTACATATTCCAGTTCACTCATGATAGCTAACATAATACTTGGTTCTTTAAAGCAATGCGCAAGCATTAGCTAATTAGTCTAATGGGGTTGCATTGTTTTACATTCTTGACATAACATGCTGCCGTTGTGGTATCTGAAATTTATAATAATTTCAGGGGAGCATTATTTACTATGATACACAAACCTTCTATTCAAGTCTTTGCAGCTACTAGCCATTTGAGGAGAGAAGGACTAAATACTACCAGTGGGTATTTTTGGATCTGATTCCAGACACTTTTGCTATTAGATATGAAAGAATTTGCATTAAGGGATTATTTTGAATAGCTGTTAAAGATTTCCAGAGAGGAAGATTAACGTGCACAGAGGCTTCAAATACACTGGAAAAGCTTTCCAGCATTACACATTTCCATGCACTTCACATTTTGCCCTGTCAAGTTTATCTTCCTCAGACAGGAAATAGCAATGAGGCAACCCTAGGGGCCAGGTCCTAATAGTAGCTAATGAAGTGCAGAACTACCTCATTCTGCAACAGCGCAAGTAAAGCCTGCAGATTGGCATGGATGTAGATATCTTGCTAAGGTTTTCTTTATCTAGTTGAGCAAATCAGTCATTTAAAAACCCCAGAGTAATATCATGCTGGTGTTTTGCAGACATCCAATAAGACAGCTGCTGTCTGGGAGAGAGAAACTGGTATCTAACAACTTTTCAAAGGGATGTTTCAGTATAAAGCCTTCCAAAAGAAGCAGACACAGAAGGCATTTTTTAGCTGGTGTGCTGTGGTCTGAATTAGAGAAAACAATTTTTACATGGAGCTGCAGAAGAACCAATTGACATAGAAGATTTTGGTTCTAATTTAACACTTTATAATCTAGTACTTTTTCATCCCCAAACTGCAAAGACACATCAAAACAATCCTGCTTTCTACCAGCCATTATAACCTACAGGTTAAGAAGGTAACATCCTTGACTTAACACCTGTACTCCATTACAAGAGTATGAAAATGGTGCAACTCCACTGGTATATTGGGATGGAGAATGAGGAGCCCTGTCACTCTTCAGCATCTTGGTAGGTAGGGGAGGGTAAGCCCAGGATGCTGGGCTGCATTTCAGCATCTCTGTTTTTTCTTCCATTTCTTTGGATATTATCAGTTTAATGTTACACTCATCTGAAAACAAAACTGCAGCAGTGAGGGGAAAATTCTGGTGCAGACACTTCCCAGAATAGAGTGTTTCTCAGCTAAAAAGCTGTCTTCTCACCATATACTCAGAAATCCATTCAAGGAGGTTCTGAAATGAAGCTATATCTTCTCTATGTTGGGTATCTTCCTTGTCAAGCTGGAATATCTGCATTTTTCATATTTTCTCTTTGCTCCATGCTGTAGTTGGCAAAGGAAAAGAAACATAATTTGCATGTTTGGGGAGCAGGGTCCAAGGTCTTCTGTCTAGAATGGATGTTACAAGGTCTTTTATCATCCCTGCCTCTAGTCTAGGTGTTGGCATACTGCTTTGCCTCTGGAAAGTGCTTTTTTATTATTTCTCTCAAGAGTCTATCAATGGTGTTTCTGAGCTGGCTGGAATAGTTTAAGAGTAATGTTGGGAATTATACTCTTAGAAAGTGTTGGCAAATTTGGGTCCCTTTCATGACTCTGTGGACCACCATTTTGTTTTCTTTCATTAGAAGAAAGTAACTGTGTTGTCTGGTCCTAAAGGCGTGGTGGGGGAAAGCGGGAAAATCATGTTTGTTAGTAGGAAAGTCAGTATTTTCATGGCATCTAGCAAGGCTTTGTTTCCTTACTAATTGCGCGTCGCATTAACAGCACAGTACCTCTCTGAAAAGGAGCCGCATCCACTAAAAGCATGAAGCCCTACATCCTGTCATAGTGCTGAACTGGCAGCTTAGAAAGCCCCACTTCCTCTATGTGTACGTGACTAATGAGTTTGGACAAAAACCTCAATAAGAGGAAGTGAGTGGCCTGGTTTCTGAGGCAGCAAAAGCCAGGACACAGCACAAGGTGGCTCTTTACTAAAGGTCCAGTCCTGCAAGATGGTCAAATCTTTCAGGATCTCTTTACTCATTGGCTTTATTAGGAGAGTTACAGGTACTCATTTATTTGAAGGAGGTGCTGAACACCTGCCTACATCAGGCCCTTGCCAGAACCAAGGGAATAAGAGCAGAAGTAAGAAAATGGAGGCAAAGTGACAAGAAGGAAGTGGTAACAAGAAAGCAAGGGGAAAGAGAGGAGAGATGGGGAATGAGAAAACAGAGCACAAGAAGAGACGAGAAATGTGCATTCATAGGCCCTGATCTAACTGGGAGTTTAAGAGCTCTGCTGAAATAAGTATTGGTCTAGATTTCACATTGGGTTAAAAATGCAGGTGCCATGGCATACAGCTCCCGCTGGAAGTTAGAGCAGCCCTGAAGACTGACAGCTTATTAGCATGATTTCCATTATCTTTAAATGGGATTGCTTTGCCAAGAGCTAAGCCCTTTGTAGCTCTTTGAAAGCCCAAGGGTATGTGTATTTCCATTGCATGCTTGAGGTTTGCAGTCCCAAAGTAATTCTATGCTACTTTCATTTAGCCTTGTGCAAGTCAAGAGAAACTCCTCCGATACCGGAGGTACGTTAAGCAAGAGGGAGGGGAGAATCGGGTCTGGATACTAAACAGAAAGACTGCCTTGTTCCATTGTACCCACTGGAAGATTGATAGTTCACCTTGGTTACCAATACAAAGTAGAATAGAAGAGTTGTTTAAAATAGTCATAAAGAAACTCACATCTTTCCTTGCAGATATTAGAGGATGGACTAAAAATCTGCCTGAGCATAGGCACACCAAACGCATCAAAGAAGACTCTCACTTCCACTCTCAGCACTGAATTTACCACAATCCAAAGGTCTTACAGCAAGCAGCTTCCCCTCTCCTGGAAGGGCAACTTGGCTTTTTCACTTTCACATCTTCTTGGTAGGATGAGGAACTTCCGGGGAAAACACTTCTGGGTCACCAAGGCATTCCTTTCCAATCATGCCCATTTCCAATCTGAAGGTAGCCAGAGGGCTCACTTAAATCCCTTTCTCAGATCCCACATCTGCAACTACATTAACTCTTTTCTGCATTCTGGAGTTTCCCCTGCTCTGCATTTCAGGTGCATCCTTATGACCTTACAAAGGCCATGTGTGTCGGAAATGCAGGCAGGTTTTACACTATGCTACACTGCCAACCAAATGGCTAAATGTGCTGCAATGAATACTCTCTGTATAATGGAAATTATTCCCTAAGGGGTTAATGAAGAACTGACTTTTGTAACTTCCTTTGCCTATTTCCCTGTTCAGCATCTGCAGCTGTTCCCTAATGCTGCAGGTATTTATCAGCACTAAAGTATATCATCTGGTATTCATTGCAGTGGCTTCCTCTTAGACAACATATCAATTACAAAAGCATTCTTTGGGCTTAATTTCATGCCCCTTTTTAGGTAATGGGCTTGTCTGTTCACTCCAAGATTAATGGAAATTTAGCCTTTTTCCATCCCTAAATACCAGCTGCTGTCTCATAGACTATACATGACAAAATATAATCCCTGAGGTTCCTTCTAGCTAAAAACATTTCCTACAGAAAATAGCGCTTTAACAAATCCTCCAAAGCTCTCAAATTGCTGTTGTATGTCATCTGATTTTTTTAGTTCAAATTTACCAAGAAGATAAAACTTTGTGGGAAAAAAAGATAAAATGGATTGGAATTACTGTTGTGAACCTGCTGTTCCATGTGTTTATTTCTGAAGTGGAATCCACCCCCAAATATAATCTTCCCATAGTAAATTTGCAGTGCCATCTATTCTTTCCCAGGATCTGGATAGTGGGTAGTGTCCTGGGTCACAGTTCAACAGAAATTTGATTTTTAGAGAAAGAAGATGGGTGACTAGTTATTGTTAATACCAGGCCTCTGGATGAGTTACTGCCAGTGGGGATGAACCTGGGGACCTGCTTGAGTGTAAAGGCCCACCTCTAATACCCAAAGATATTAAGGACCACCAATCTCCTCAGGTGGCCCTGCTGCCATGAGAGAAACACAAGGTGTACTGAGCAGTAGAAATAGCTCAGAGCAATGAAGGAGATCATCTGTGGTCTTTAAACCTGTGCCCCTCCAGAGGTCCAGCTTGGCCAATAGGATGGCACCTTGTTGCTTTCAGAATAGAGGAAGCTTGCTGGTTGAAGAATTTTCTCTGAGCTACCTTCTAGGGAGCAGGTATAGATGCTAAGGTAAGATCTAGTCATGTAAAAGTGATGTTGTAACTATGATGGTCCCAAAATTATGTGAATAGCAAGGATTTCTTAGAGTTATATCTTGTATTGAAGCAACTGTGTAGTTGGGATAAAGTTAGACAAGCTTTTGAATGTAAGACATTCTTCCTCAGGTCTCAGTGGGAAGGGAGGGATTCAATCTCATCTTTCTGTGTAGCAAGAATTTGGGAGTTAGATAAACTATAACAAGCCATAAATTCAATATCAATGTTTCATCCTTTGTTTTTAGTGTTCAGCCAGCTTATGAATATGAAGGTAAGGTCCTGCAGCCCATACAAAGTTAATAGATCCTTGCCCATTGCATAGCTACTAAGGGTTGATTACATATGGAAGTGGAAGCTAGGTTAAAAGGAGTCACAGGAGAAAGGTATGCTCTCCTATGTCCTGACTGGTTGCTGTAAAGAAGGCTCTTAGGGTTTGAGAATTAGCCTAATTTTCAGTTGATTTTGTTGCAGTTTTGACCTTTTGTGAACAATAAACAAAGTTCCAAGGAAAAGGGATTAAAAAGGGTTTGGGTGAGAAGTCTTATACCCTTGGTTGGTCTGATTTGTTTGTTACAGGTTTGGGTGGGGTTGAAAGATAGTGTGTCAGTGTTGTGGAAGGGCTTTATTATCAAGTGAGGTTTTGTAGCATTTCCTAAAATCTCTGATTCATCTAGGGAAACTTGATTCCCTCAAACATGGTGGCTCAGTTCCTGATTCTTGCTCGTCTATCCTGGAATTTGTGATCTGCGTTGTCCCAGAGGAGCACAACTATCTTGCAAATAATGCAGTTGCATCTTGTTTTGTTACTGTATTTACCTGAATATAAGATGAGGAGATGAAGTTTTCCCCCCGTCATCAGCATGGAGGGGAAAAAAGCCCCATATCATATGTCTGCATACAAAGTGGCAGGGGGGAGCAGGCAGCTATTGTGGCTCTGACTCTGGTCCTGAGCCAGAATCAGATCTGCAGCAGCTTCTTGCTTCCCCTCTCCATCTCTTCCCCCTTAGTGTCAGCTCCATTCTGGCTGGGGATGGGGTCTCTCCCAGGGAGGGAACACATGGAAACTCCTTCTCCTGCCTAGTCAAAGAGTAGTGGGGACGCTGCTGCATGGCTTGGCAAACACTAAACTACATACCATGCCCCAGGTTGAAGGAGCCCAAGCAGCCTCTGATAATAAAGGATGAGGGGAAGGGGAAGGGGCAGAAACTGCAGGGAGCAGGGGAGGAAGGGGAAGAGACAGGGGGGTAATTTTGGGGAGAAGGGGCAGAGACTTGGGAAGAGTTTAGGGTAAAAGGCAAAGACTGAGGAGCAGGGGGAAAGGGACAGGGGGTTGGGGAAGGGGCAGAGGCTGTTAGAAACTGCAGGGGGAAGAATTGAGGGGGGGCAGAGGGCAAGGGAGCTGCCTGACTCTCCCTCCCCCAGTCATTGCTTTCCCTGCTCTAGCAATGTGTGTGTGTGGGGAGGGGGGGGAGGAATTCAAAACCACTCTCCAATACTTAGATTCTATACCTGGAAAATTATAACAAATTTATACATTTTCCATATATAGGATCTAATGACTGTGGGGTCATCTTATAATAAAGTTGTCTTTATTCAAGTAAATATGGTAATTGCTTTGAAAACTAAGTCTAAGGCATCAGACTGGCATCTGAAACCCACTGGAGGCTAGTAGATTCAGGCTAGATATCAGAAGGCGCTACTTCACAGTCAGGGCGGCTAGGATCTGGAACCAATTTTCAAGGGAAGTGGTGCTCACTCCTACCCTGGGGGTCTTCAAAAGGAGGCTAGATAGACACCTTGCCAGGGTCATTTGACCCCAGCATCCTTTCCTGCCATGGCAGGGGGTTGGACTTGATGATCTGCTCAGGTCCCTTCCGACCCTACCAACTATAAAACTATGGAAGGACCTGGACACAAGTGCAGTCAGTGACAGCTTAGACTAAAAAGTTTCACATTCACAGGGGTTTATTCTGTACCAGCTGAGGCCCTTTGTCTTTTCTTCATATTCAACTACATAAAACACCACAAAAGTCAACCTGTAGGTAATAAATGTATAGATCCTTGTAGCCTGCTCCTCTTCCAAGGAAGAGACAGTTTCATAGACTGCTGGAGTTGGAATAATATGTAGACACTAAAGATATCTTGTCATAGATGTTAAATTTAATCCAAAGGCTTTGCACCGATTTGACAAATTGGGGCTGTATGCTTTCACTGGAAGGCAAGGAAACTATCTTACCATTCTACTTGGACCATTCCAGCAGGTTTATCTCAAACTGGTTTCAGCCATTCTCAAACTGGTTTATGTGGACGGATCATCTGTTCTATTACAGGTTTAAGCCAGTTTCTGATCACTTAAGCTGGTTTGTGTGTAATGTCTGTCCCTAGCCCTAGTCCCATGATTCTCAATCAGGGTGCCACGGCACCCTGGGTGGCTCTGAGCACCTTAGAAGGGTGCTGCAGTGCTCAGCCCATGTGAAAGAAGGTTAGCCCTAGCTCTTCCACATGTTAGGCACCTGTGCCTGCCCCAGCATCCCAGCAGCACTCCCCAAAGTCCCTCCCACTGGCTTCAGGATCATGGGAGGAGTGGGGGAATGAGCTGCATTGAAAAGCACAGCTGCACCCTTACAGTGACTGTCCTTGTGTTCTGAGTGGTGCAGTCTGTCACAGGAAGCTTCAGGGCCACCCCCTGCTCTTCCCATGTTCCCAGAGCTGGTGGGAGGTGTCACAAAGAATGGTGGCTTCAGGCACTGGCATTCAAGTCCTTGGGGAGCAGCCACAGTGGCAGGGGCTACACTTACTCCCTCAGGGAGAGGGGGCAGACAGTGGAAAGAGCAGGGAACGGCAGGTTCTGCCCGGCCACCAGCACCCTTTTGCCTCCTGCTGAGACAGCTGCCTGCCCCTCCTGAGCTTCCCAATCTGTACTGCCACACAGCCCCTGCCAGTACCATGCACCAGCCCCTGCCACGCTCTCAGAGGTGCTCTGCCCACTCTTCCACTATGTGAGGGTGCTGCAGGGTGTGAGGAGGTAAGTACTGTAAGAAAACAAGAAGTCTTTATAAAGGGTGCCACTAAATTCCAGAAAGTTAGAGGGGTGCCTCAAGTCTAAAAAGGTTGAGAACCACTGATCTAGTCTGACATTCCGTGTATTTTGGGCACTACATTTTGCCCAGTTTACCCTTGCATAGGACACTATTCTTTCTGTTTGCATGAAACAGATCTTCCAGAAGGGTATCCAGTCTTGATCTGAAGATATTAAGAGATAGACAATTCACTGCTTCCCTTGGTATTTTGTTCCAATGCTTAATCACCCTCAATGTTAATATTTTGTGTCCAATTTCTAATTTTAAATGTGTTTGTCTTTAGCTTTCAGCCACCAGTTCTTGCTTCTTTCTGTTAAATTAAAGAGCTCTTTAGTATCCCATATGTTTCCTTATGAAGGAACTTAGGAATTGTAATCAAGTCATCTTTCAGTCTTTTTTTTTGATAAGCTAAAAAGATTCTGTCTTTGTCATTCATTGTAAGGCATTTTCTCCCTTCTTCAGATAATTTCTGTTCCTGGACCTTCTCCATTTTTTATTATCCTTTTGAAAGTATAGACACTGAAATTGGATGTAGAATTCTAGCATTGGTCTTAGTGACAGTGTATAGAGAAGTAAAAGCACCTTTGTATTTCCCCCATCTGTCCATCCAGTGATCCAGTTCACCCTTCTTGCCACAGCATCACACAGGGGTATCATATTAAGTTGCTTATGTACTATAGCGCCTAGGTTGTTTTCATAAACATCACTTCCCAGGATATAGTGCCCTATTTTGCAGATTGGCCTGCATTCTGCCTATAACTTTGTATTCACCTGTATTAAAATGCTTTTTGTTTGAATCAACCTTCATCACCAAGCAGTTCAGATCACTCTGTATGATTGCCTGGTCCTCACTGCTGTTTGCCATTCCTTGTTGCCAGGTGTGAAGAGATCCTTTCAAGAGGTGCCCTACTGACCTTAGAGCTAGTATTGTTGTAGACCTCTGCCTTCTATGACCTGGCCTGCAGGAACCTCAGCAGGGCTGTGTATTTGCTGGTTTTGCATACCTAATCATTCTGCAGCCTGGTGTGGTGTTTTGCATCAAGCATGTAATAGAAGTATAGAATTATACTCTTCATTTGACTAAATAGTTCTGATAAACATTCATCCCTACACCATGGGTTCAGTAATTCTGTCTTCACTTAACAGCAAAGTAATTCCAACTGTGCCACTTCACAGAATTGCTACCCAAGCCTGTCTTGACCAGAAAGGTGTAGCCAATTAATCAGAATGCAGTCTGGACCATTCAGGTGCTCTCAGTCCTCTGGTGGGAAAGACCTTTAAGAATCAGGAATAAGTGCATTGAAATTCATGCCTGTATCAGC